CAACTAACATGTTCCCGAGGGTGAGATTTTTTTTCTAAAATAATTATAAATGATAATCAGTGAATACGTAAATAGAATGAAAAAAAATGTTTGAGAAAGAATATATTAACTGTTTCTTTCATTTTTGGAATGAAAGAAAGAGAGAGAGAGAAAAAAAACACTATAAACTGAATGGCAAAATGAAATAAAAAATAAGAAAACACATATTGATATATATATATTTTTTTTACTTTCACCATTTTTGGTACTGCAGATAGCTATCATGTTGGGTCTGGCAGCTGCCTCTCTGGCCGCTCCGTCACAGCCTCCCTACGGATACTCTCCTCCTCCCTCTTACCAGGTTCTAATCATAATTTTTTTCTCCCCAGTTTTGGTTCACTAGTGTTCAATGCGATCAAAATTAGACCAGATTTTTTTGTTATCTGTAAATTTTCTTACCATTATTTATTTTTTGGCTATTTATTTATTTATTATTATTATTATTTTTTTTTTGAAAACATTGTTTTCCATTGCCAGATTTTGATCATTTTATGGATATTTTTATCTCTTTTTTTTCACAATATTCTTGTATTCTTTCAGTCTCCAGCTCATTACAACTTCGACTGGGTCGTGAAGGACGACTACTCCGCCAACGACTACGGCCACCAGGAGTCCCGCGACGGATACAACACACAGGGATCCTACTACGTGCAGCTTCCCGACGGTCGCCTGCAGAAGGTCACCTACCACGTGGACGGCGACTCAGGCTACGTGGCCGAGGTCACCTACGAGGGACAGGCTCACTACCAAGCCCACCAGCCTTCCTACCATCCTACTCCTGCATACCAGCCTACCCCTTCATACCACACCAATCCTTCCTACCATCCTACACCTTCTTACAGACCTACACCTTCCTACAGGCCGAGACCCCATCACTGAAACTTTCATGTATAAAATCTTTCCACAAATATAAAATCCCCTTTGAATCACCATGTTCGTATCCTATGCTTAAAGGCCTCCATCATTCAGCAGTTGATCTATAAAACATATTCACACAAATACAAAGTCATTCTCGATTCATTACTTTTTTTGACTTCCTATTATGGAATATACAATTAATAAATTCCAGAAGTTATTAACAAAAAGAAAAAAAGACCAGACTATATCACAAAACAAAGTGACGCAATTGAAGGGAAGCAGATACCAGTAACAACGAGAGCCAAGAACCGGCACATCTTCGTGGTATAAAGAAATATGTATATAAAATGGCAAAAAGAAATAAATGTTGGTAAATAATATACGGCATCTACTTGAAACAGAGAAATTACATAGAAAACATCAATGGACAGTATTCACAGGCAGTCTCTTAAATACAACGTGAATCGCGTCTTTGAATTTGTATTTTTTACGAAGAATAAAACCAAAATTATAAGGCATAAAATATGAGAATATGTAGGAAAATTTGAAAAATACAAAAAGACTCTATGTAAATAAACTAACATGGATGAAAATTTAGAAACACTGAGTAACATAGACCAGCAACAAAAAAGCCAAATGATCCATGAACCGGCATATTTACGTGCAATGAGATGGCATAGATAAGGCCAGCACTGAGTGTTTATAGGAAATCTGGCAAATACAGACTCACTGGCCTGAATTTGTTTTATGCGATGAAGGAAAATAAATGAAGACTACAGCACCAAAGTTGAAAACAAGAGACTTAACCCTTGGAAATCTTAGCTGATGAAACACCGTATCGTATGAGATTATTTAAAATCATCTGCCGCATTAACACCATTAGCGTTGTAGTAAAAAGCAAAAAAAACAAACAAACAAAACAAAAAAAAACAAAAAAAACATGCAGAAGGCAGAAGACTGACAGGGACTGAATCTGCTGTAAGAGATAATGATGGTATAATAGACAATGTGAATATATTTATTTATTCATTAATTTACACATGTAGGTGACAGTTTTAAGATTCGTATTTGTACATCTTAACTGACCAGATGGCCAGTAGAGTTATTTTCAGGCGAAACTTGATTAACGATACAAAATTAATTAAGATTTAAGATGTGAATTGCGACACTTACTGCGTGAAATGGATCCCTAAGAAATATGAAATGATACGAAATAATACGTGTTTGTTAGTGTTTTCTATTAATAATCTAAGTACTTATAATGTTTCTGTTTATATTATAAATGTAGCGATCCTTAATTTTTTTTTATACAATGACGTTTAGTAGCTAGCAAAGTGGGCGTGGCCATGCTTCGTTTCTCAAGGTCAAGTGAAGCCACGCCCACGTTTCTCGAAGTATATAAGACAAACCGAGAGTGCTTTTCACGACATCAAGCAAAATCCAAAACCAGCAAACATGTTTCTTTCGGTGAGAGAGAGAAAAAAAAATCTAAAATATATAGGATTTTTCTTAATAAACACCATTGGCCATTCGTCTTTTATTTATTTATTTATTTTTATTTAACATTTTATTTATTTATTTATTTTTCCAGTTGAGCGTCGTGTTGGGTCTGGCAGCTGCCTCTCTGGCCGCTCCGTCACAGCCTCCCTACGGATACTCTCCTCCTCCCTCTTACCAGGTAACTTACTTGGATCATGATAGTCTGTATTTCAAGCACTCTCACTGCTGCTTTAAATATCTCTTCGTTATTTATTTAGTCTGTATATGGAGAATGTATATGACTTTCAAACAACTGTCATTAAAAAGTTCTGATGTAGTTATCATTTTCACTCCACAATGAGTCTGCAGATTTTAATGTAAATTGCCCTTACATATCAGTCTCCAGCTCAGTACAACTTCGACTGGGTCGTGAAGGACGACTACTCCGCCAACGACTACGGCCACCAGGAGTCCCGCGACGGATACAACACACAGGGATCCTACTACGTGCAGCTTCCCGACGGTCGCCTGCAGAAGGTCACCTACTACGTGGACGGCGACTCAGGCTACGTAGCTGAGGTCAGCTACGAGGGACAGGCTCACTACCTAACCCACCAACCTTCCTACCATCCCACACCTGCATACCAGCCTACCCCTTCATACCACACCAATCCTTCCTACCATCCTACACCTTCGTACAGACCTACACCTTCATACAGGCCGAGACCCCATCACTGAAACTTTCATGTATAAAATATTTCCACAAATATAAAATCCCCTTTGAATCACCATGTTCGTATTCTATGCTTAAAGGCCTCCATCATTCAGCAGTTGATCTATAAAACATATTCACACAAATACAAAGTCATTCTCGATTCATTACTTTTTTTGACTTCCTATTATGGAATATACAATTAATAAATTCCAGAAGTTATTAACAAAGAGAAAAAAATTCCAGACTATATCACAAAACAAAGTGACGCAATTGAAGGGAAGCAGATACCAGTGACAACGAGAGCCAAGAACCGGCACATCTTCGTAGTATAAAAAAATATGTAGATTGGCGAAAAGAAGTAGATATTGATAAGTAATATATGACATCTACTTGAAACAGAGGAATGACATAGAAAACATCAATGGACAGTATTCACAAGCAGTCTCTTAAATACAACGTGAATCGCGTCTTTGCAAATATCCAATGACCTGAATTTGTATTTTCTACGAAGAATAGAACCAAAATTATAAGGCATAAAATATGAGAATATGTAGGAAAATTTGAAAGACACAAAAAGACTCTATGTAAATAAACTAACATGGATGAAAATTTAGAACCACTGAGTAACATAGACCAGCAACAACAAAAAAGCCAAATGATCCATGAACCGGCATATTTACGTGCAATGAGATGGCATAGATAAGGCCAGTATTGAGTGTTTATAGGAAATCTGGCAAATACAGATTCACTGGCCTGAATTTGTTTTATGCGATGAAGGAAAATAAATGAAGACTACAGTACCAAAAGTTGAGAACAAGAGACCTAACCCTTGGAAATCTTAGCTGATGAGACACCGTATAGTATGAGATAATTTAAAATCGTCTGCCGCATTAACACTATTAGCGTTGTAGTATAAGGAGACATGAAGGGGAAGGGAGGCAAAAAAGAAAAAAAAAAAAAAAAAAAAAAAAAAATCATGCAGAAGGCAGAAGACTGACAGGGACTGAATCTGCTGTAAGAGATAATGATGGTAAAATATACAATGTGATTTGTCTTTGTACATCTTAACTGACCAGATGACCAGTAGAGTTATCTTCAGGCGAAACTTGATTAACGATTCAAGATTAATTAAGATTTAAGATGTGAATTGCGACACTTACTGTGTGAAACGGATCCCTAAGAAATATGGAATGATACGAACATATTTCAGAACAATAAACATCACGAATCTGACGTACTTCATTAGCTTCGTTCATGTTAAGGCTTTAAAAAAAAAATTGAAATCGATAATTAATGACATGTGCCTATCATATCTAGGCTTCCTTCTTTTCCTGTTAATTTCTATGTCTCCATCTTTTATCTCATGTCTATCTTCTTATGCTTTCGTTCGCTATAATACGTGTTTGTTAGTGTTTTCTTTCAATAATCTAAGTACTTATAAAGTTTCTGTTTATATTATAAGTGTAGCGATCCTTAGTTTTTTTTTATACAGTGACGTTTAGTAGCTGGCAAAGTGGGCGTGGCTATGCGTCGTTTCTCAAGGTCAAGTGAAGCCACGCCCACGTTTCTCGAAGTATATAAGACAAACCGAGAGCGCTTTTCACAATATCAAGCAAAATCCAAAACCAGCAAACATGTTTCTTACGGTGAGAGAAAAAATCTAAAATATATAGGATTTTTGTTAATAAACACCATTGGCCATTCGTCTTTTATTTATTTATTCATTTTTATTTAACATTTTATTTATTTATTTATTTTTCCAGTTGAGCGTCGTGTTGGGTCTGGCAGCTGCCTCTCTGGCCGCTCCGTCACAGCCTCCCTACGGATACTCTCCTCCTCCCTCTTACCAGGTAACTGACTTGGATCATGCTTTAAATATTTCTTCGTTATTTATTTAGTGTGTATATAGAGAAAACATTATCTAAATGACTTTCAAACAACTGTCATTAAAAGTTCTGATGTAGTTATCATTTTCACTCCACAATGAGTCTACTTATTTTAATGTAAATTGCCCTTACATATCAGACTCCAGCTCAGTACAACTTCGACTGGGTCGTGAAGGAGGACTACTCCGCAAACGACTACGGCCACCAGGAGTCCCGCGACGGATACAACACACAGGGATCCTACTACGTACAGCTTCCCGACGGTCGCCTGCAGAAGGTCACCTACCACGTGGACGGCGACTCAGGCTACGTGGCCGAGGTCACCTACGAGGGACATGCTCAATATCAATCCCACCAACCTTCCTACCATCCTACACCTGCATACCAGCCTACCCCTTCATACCACACCACTCCTTCATACCATCCTACACCTGCCTACAGGCCAACACCTTCTTACAGGCCGAGACCTCATCACTAAGCAGCTAAACTACAAACACATAAAAGATTGATATGTATTTTTGTAACTACTTACTATTAAAAAGATAGATGTTAACACACCGTTTTAACTGAGCAGAAACCTTCATATAACATGCAATCAGAAAAAAGCTCAGCCTACACAATGTATTAGAAGATACATGCAAGTAGCAAAGGAATCATAATAGGTACATAGTCTGCTCTTCGTGTTTGTGCATGACCCGTATGGAATCTGCGTGGAAAGATATGAAAGATAAGATAGACGCTTTGTGAATATTATGATCTTGCAAATACAATTGGGTTAAAATAAATTGTAGATTTCAGTGGTCTGAAACTATACTTACTGCGAAAACAGACTCAAAGATATTACAGCCAGTTTCAAAAACGGATAGAAAGATATTGCAGAAAATTCTCATTTATGGCACCAAACCTGAGAAAAAGATATGGGAAAAAAAATATAATACGGATTAATCTCATTATGAATATGCAGCCCTACACACACGAGAACCTATGTATATAGCGCATTTTCGTCGTGTCAGATCTTTATTCGTGCTTCAATGTGCCTTATTTGTATTTTTGATATGTCACTTCATAAGATAAGAAA